ATTGAGTAACGGATTGTTACGTTGCTTTACAGCCTTTAGTTAAACACACGATATGACATATTGGTAAAAGCAATATTTATTTTATAACTGAATTTATGTTGTAGATAAAGGTAAAGTAAACCGTTTTAACTTTTCCTTTAAATGTAACTAACCGTGGGTTTACATGGCATATTATAATCAGTTTAATTCTCTTTGAGAAAGCTTAACTAACAAGCTTAACACGGATTTATCGATAGTGGAAACTCACTGTGATTTCTATAATTGTCAACATATTCATCAATACTAATATTATAAAGAGGAAATTTTGTACTTTTGTATGTATTGAAACTCTAAAACTACTGGGCTGATTTCAAAAATGTTTTTACCATTAAAAAGCTATATTATCACTGAGTGACATAGGTTATATATTTTATTAATTTTACTCGGGCGAAATCGTGAGCAATAGCTAGTCGTTTTAATAATTTAATTCCAATGACGAATTTAACAGAATGTTTCTCGATTTACATGTTAATATTAAATATATACATAGAACAAATATCACGATTTCCGAAGATTTCCACGAACATAACATTAATTTCACGCTGTTATGAAAACGTGATCCTTTCCCGATTGGACTTATACTCTCGCTGCAATGCGCTTCGCTAACATTCTTTGAGAAATTGTTTCTTTTCAAGTACTCTTTATTACTCGAACGCTTTGTACACTTTATGAAATAGTTGTACACTAAATTATGAGAAATGGCATTTTTTGTCTTCTTGTAACTGTTCCAAACAATATGTTGACAATATTGAAACGTAAAATAAAAATGTAATTAACTTTTCTAACGTTAATTTGATACATAAGCAATATAAAAGGCTTGTCATGATTAAACACATTCAATTAATCATTTATTAATTAATCCATTATAATTAATTATTAGTTAATGATTAACTAATGATTAATTAATTGTTAGTCAACGATTGATTAATGATTAAATTCTACCAGCAATTAGCCCGGCCAGCTAAACCAAAGTATGGTGTAGTTGTATTTTGTACTTAATATGAAATGATTCATTTACCATTTTTGGTTAAAATAAATGAAACAAGAACGAATTTTCCATTAAAACCGTCTCGTGTGTAGCATGCATCCGCAATGAAGTTTATTTCTCTACGTTGAATTTTGGAGTAATACCGAAAATTAGTATTCTTGTGAAGTTTTTGTACGAGAAATTTAATGTATGATAATTTTTAATTTATGTAAGTTTTCATTCATTATTTCGCTATATTTTAACATAATATTATAAATTTACCTTAAATTAGTTCCACGAGAAGTTTTTTAAAACGAAAACTATGAATTTCCCATAACTATCAAAAATATTTGAATCAAAACAAATTTTGTTAGTTTAAAACATCCCTAAAAAACTCATTGCTAAATGGTTTTCGATTGTCAATTTTTTTATTCGTAATTCGAATTGCATCAATAAATGTATTATCAAGGAAACAAATTTTAAATTAAACATATTAGTATAAGAATTAAAACAATTTTGATAAATGTTCTAAACTAGCTTTCGCCCGCGATACCGCGTGGAATTAACAAAAATTATGCCGTAACACACATAAAAAAACATATCGTCGAATTGAATACCTCCTTCTTTTGGGAAGTCGGTCAACAAAACTAAGTAACCTTTGTCTTCTTTCAGAATATGTTCTACATCTATGCCAAATTTCCTTGAAATCCGTTCAGCAGTTTAAGCTACAATATCTAACATATCTAACATCCATCCATCTAAGCTTTTGCATTTATAATATTAGTAAGATTTTATTTTATAAAGTAAATCTATGTTAATTAAAAATCTCGTAAAGTCAATACAAATTCTATAATTGAAAAAGTAATTGGTGTTCAGTAGCCACGTATTGATTGAGGGACAAAAATTCAATTTGTCCTTCCGAGCTATTCGTCCCACGGTATTGAAGCAGTCCCAGGTTTTCTATTGTGTTTCTCTCGTTCAAATGAATTCGTAAATTTACTTGGCTATCATGTTTTTTAACAGAAAATTCTTGTAATTTAACACAAAAGCATGTTTTCATTTCAAATTAATTAAATAAAATGATTGATTTGAATAGGAATTATAAAATTTAATACTTGATAACCTTTTTTAATAGAAAAGCAAGAATGACAATGACATTAGTTCTTTCTTTTAAAAAAATATTCTTTTTAATCATAAACATGCCCCCAGGCGGTGCAGGTAAGGTTTTACCTTAAAATTATCATAAAATTATCTGTCTCCCGAAATTCCGTGCACGCGGAATTAAAAGCAAACTTAATTAGTCTCTCTTATAATCTTACAGACTATGTTCTAAAGCTATGCTAAATTTTATAGAGATCCGTTCAGCAGTTTAGGCTACAAACTCTTAAAACATTCATCCGTCCATCCAAACTTTCACATCTATACTAATATTATAAAGAGGAAGGAGGACGAAAAACGAAAACCCAGTTCGCCGACCTTACGGGAGTAGGATAAGGTAGAGGAGATGATGATGATGATGATGATGATGATGATGATGATGAAATATTATAAAGAGGAAAGATCTGTATTTCTAAATTGTTGTACATATTGAAATAACTTAAAAATTATTTGGGCGATTTCAAAAATTCTTTCACCATTAAAAAGCTGCTTTTACTGAGAAACAAAGGCTATTTTTTATTCCACGTGGATAAGTCACGAGCAACAGCTAGTTTATAATATATAGAAATATAGTAAGATTAAATTAAACATTTTATTCATTAGCTCTTTTGTATCAAATTCACGTTGTTACTTTATTCAAATCGTAACAATTTTATTTAGCAACAAACTCGTTATTGTAAGTCTAGACAGAATTAGAATGTAGATGTCGTCTGGTTCATAACAATATGTCTTGTTATACTAAACCGCTTTATTTGTTTAATTTATGAACTACGTTTGAGATTTTTATTTGATAAGGAAAATCTCTACATTACTGATTAAAATGATCAAAGAAATTTTCTTTATGCTGTCGTGCAAACTGTTTATATTTCATTTTTTTTATGAAGTTAACTTTGAACCTTGTGATGAATAAGATCGTGACATACCTGAAACTATCGCACAAATGTTTAGTTTCGATTTTTCCTTTGAGCGCACATTACTCGACTTTTAGTTTCACAACTAATTAGTTTAGACACAGACTAATTAGTTTAACAGTGGTGGAGCCCGCTTTAACATCTTCGCACGAATGGGTCGGCTCGGCCGGTGTAATACCACGACCACACAGAAGACAGGCGTGAAGTGCAAGCAATTCGATCGTCTGATGAGTTTGCTGCCGGAAGACCTATTAAGTCCCTTTTCCGTTCCACCTTTTTCTAATAAGGAAAGGATTGGGTGGGAAAGTGGACTTGACGGAGGAGGAGACGCATAGAAAGGGTAAATATCCTCTTTATGCGCTTCTCCTTATTCGTCGATTTTGATGTCTATGGGCAGCGGTCACTTCGCCATTTTGACGGATTTAGGTGGCCGCATGCTCATTTGCCACCTTATTGTATAAAAAAATAGTTACAGTTGTGCGATAGTTTAGTTTCAGGTGTGCACACGCTCTTAAGAAAATATCAGAGGGTTTTTTCTTTATCTATATGAAGCATTTCCATTGTCTGTGATGTCTAGGTGTTTCGCATTGTCACCGTTTCGAAACTATGTCGCTCGGCGCGCTTTTAACTTGGCGTGATGGGGCCTCATGCATATTTGAAACGGTGCCTACCTATTGCGCCATTCTGAATGTTTTATTATTTTTAGGCTGGCTTGCAGAGTCACTGTGTGTTTAGTCCAACAGATCAGTGTCGATCGATTATAACGAAAATAGAAAAGTGGCACAAGGGTTATTTTTCTACTGACCTATATGTGCCTTTTGTAGCCTTTTGTTTTAGAGATTTTTAAAATATGCCCAACGAAAGTTATACTTAACATTCGTTACGTTCTTAAAAATAATAGCTACCGATTACAAAATTCCACGCTATTTATTAGTTTTTTGAAGTAAAAATCCTAATTTAAAATACATACATTAACTGTCTTGTGAAACTAATTTGTAGTGGATGTAATTTCCAGATCAATAAAGTAATAATTTATTAACAAAGGTACTGTCTATAAAAACTATGGTATATACTTATCTTATTAATGAATAAATTACGTCCATCAAAATTACTGGGTGTGAATTCCAGTAAATGTACCGCTAATGATACTTTTCTAAGAGTTAAGTCATTAAGTATAATAAGTTGATAAATCGATAGAAGACAATATGGAAAGTGTATTTTATCACAAAGTATGTTGAAACACGACACACGTAGACACGCATAGTAAAAGAATGTGTTTTTTAAGTGTTTCCAAAAGGTATGAAACTGGTCAACAATCAAAATGGTTTTTTTTCAAATTAATGAAATCTTATCGAGTAATTAGTAAGAAAAATTAACATTTGGAGACTAAAAGGGAAATAATTGTTTCTGAGTATGAAACTTTTTAAACAATTTCAGTTAAAAATACATTTCAGATTTGGTGTGTTTAACAACATGAATATTTAATGAAGCCGCTACATACAAGCCAAAGTTTCATAGAAATAAATTTTTAAATAAAATATGTCACACATTTCGTCTCGGCAGCTGTTCCGCTGGGATTAAACTGTTTGTGCAAACACAACTTCTGTCTTATATTTTCTTTCTTTTTGAGAATTTATTTTATTTACTTCTGTACGAGTTATTTAACCTCTGTCGAAATTTAATTCACAAAGAAAACTAAAAACATTTCGCTTTTAAAATAGACTATCTGTTGCTCAAGACTTCGTCCACGTGAAGTTATAAAAACATATTAATCACAAATAAATTACCTTTCTAATAGTAAAAGAATTTTTGAAATGGCCCAGTAGTTTTTAAGTTATTCCAACATGGTTTAAATTTCTGTTCACTTTGCTTTCGCTACTGTGTGCTACAAGCCTTAATATTATTAAAGCTATATTTTGTTTCAGAAGCAGCATGGCATGAGCGGGCGGGTGGGCGCGACATGCGGCGAGCGCCGCTCGCGCAGCCCGCCGCCGTCGCTCTTGCGCTCTTCATTCTTCTTCACTTCGTTAACGCTGGTTAGTTCTATTTTATTATGTAATGAACAAAAAACCCACATACCTAGGTTCTTGTCACCTCCGTGCCCTCATTCAACTCTCTGTGTGATCGGAACTATTAAGTTTCGTTCGCAGAATCAAACTATTCTGTCATTTCAGTCATGACTCCTTTCTTAATCAAGTCACCTTTTGTTTACCAACTTATTTCAGCTAAGCAGTATGTATTGTGGTCACAAATTTCTTTCAATTATTCGTTTCCTAGGATCAATGGGTCCTGGTGTACCAGAGAATATAACTGTCACCTTCTTGAACCCGACCACGGTGAGGGTATCGTGGTCGACCGCCGCGGATCTAGTTGAGAAGTATGACGTGACGTACAAACCGTCTGACGCAAGGTAAGTATATGTTTGCTCGTCAGTGAATGCCTTCACTGTTGTCCTGTCTTTCTTTGTCCTGTGCTCTTTTTGCTATCAGTAGTTTAGATGTGAAAGTGAAGTTGCATGAACCTGTCAATACGGGTAAATTTATATTTCTTTATAATTGAATCGATAAAAACAAATAGATAGCAAAATTTATTAGAAACAGTCGCATCTTAGATTATTCTGTGACTTGACACTCATTTTCTCATTCCGTTTTGTCATTTTTGCTGACGTTGAAGAAGTATAACTTCATAACAATGGCTTTATACCATTAGATACTAACAAAAATAGGAGAAGACATTTATAATCTAGAGAAGTAACTGTCGTAGTTAGCTTCTTAGTGAGATTGTTAAATGTCAATAATAAACTAGCAGCGACATGATTCTAATTTTTTGTAACTTCAGAATAAATCTCTCTCTAAGCAATAGCTTAGTAAAACATTTCAGACAGTTGTATCCTCGTAAAAGGACCTTTTAAGTCGAAAGTACTAACTAAAAAGGGATCTTTTTTAATTTTGAAGCAAGCTAAAGTTGATGTTGTTTATATCCCACATCCTATTGGGAGATCTGATATAAATGAACAAGATATCACGAAACTCATTTGAAAAGGTCAGCGTGTAATCATATTATGTAAAGGCAAGGGAATCGGGGTTATCTCATCGTATTGTACAAGCTCGAAATACAACAGAATTTATCTTAGAGAAAAAAGTGTGATATTTGCATAGATAGCTCCCTTTGTATATTAAACTTGAAGAATAATAATCATGTTTTTCCACTATACGTTTAAGAACAAAATTGCGCAAACATTTAGCTTATGTTTTACGCTCTAACAGCTGGTTTCCCTGCTATATTTAACCATTCCTTACAGTTATTGATAATTTCATGAAATGTGAAGTACGTCAATAAAGTATGACTCCGTTGAAACTTAAGTCAACCTTAAAGAATATCAAGGTAATGATGAAAAAATTGGAAATTTCAGTAATCCGGTAATAAATCCAGTAATAAATTTTTAATAGTAAACGTTTACCGAAATGATACGGTCGTTATTTCTATAAAATTGTCTACATTCTAATTCTCAATTTTCATACTTCATTCTTCCTCCTTCTTTAGCATGTTAATTAAAAACAACGAAATTGACTCATTGTCCGTTAGTTACAGAGTGGTATTGGAAGTGGCAGGTAACTCCGATGCAGTTATTCTGAGCGGATTGGAAGCCGATACACAGTATCAAGTGACTGTCGCCGCTTTGTGGGGCGGCCATAAGTACCGCAGCAGGCCTATTGTCTTCCGCACCCTGGGTAAGTAAAAAAAAAGACGCCAATAGATAACTTATAAACAAAGACATATAAGAAACATATAGACTAGACATAGCGAACAACATTTTTTCATTGGTAACTTCTTTGCACGGTCACATCTAAATGTCAAATTTGACTATCGGACACCAGGTAGCGCTAGTGAGAATATGTGAAAAATGTTTTAAATGTCAACTATGCTTCCTCTGTACATTTTTAGAATCTCTTTGCCTTTAAAGTAAATCATAGAGCAGTCGAAACTGACGCGTTGACCTCGTCTAATTTAAGTCCATAACTCTGCCTATCTCTCAGAGGCTACGGATTTGTAGTTTGATCACTTATCACGAGGAATTAGGAAATATGAAAGCGCTAGTTTTTGTTTAATTATATGGTGATAGTACCCGTTTAGGGAAGTTAACTAAAGTTTGCAAAATACAAGTACTTAAATGTTATGCAAATTCAGAAATAAATCTTAAGTGTAAAAGTGTTCAAATGAAAATTGTCGAGTCGTAAAAAAATTTACATCCCTAAGCGAGTAAAAGGGTAAGTCATTCACCCGGTTTAATATAGGATTCTGTCAAATTGAATTTGCTGTGACGTTGAAACAGTGATGTATGATGGTTCATATCCGAATCGATCTATAATCTGGTTAAATATACATTAGCACTAAGGAACTAATGGTGTTAAGTTTCGAGAAGCATTTGGCAACGCTCCAGATGCTTCGTTTGCTCAAACATTCGATCTTCCGGGCTTTATATGCTATTCCACACGCTGGCTAAGGGATTATTCTGATCAAATATCTATTTCACACAAATTGTGTACAATCACATATTTTGTACCATATTTGTAAAATCTAATTCTTACATAGGACAACAATTGTCGATGGATTTAATTTTTTTTTAATAACATACTAGGTCTATTTTTATAAAACTAGTAGCTGTTGCTTGTTTCACCCGCGTGTATTAAAAAATGCTTTTTAATGTTAAAAGATTTTTTGAAATCGGCCCAGTATTTTTTGAGTTATTTAAATACGTCAAAAATATAAATCTTCTTTATAATATTAGAGCATAGGATTTAAAAGTCACTTTTAAACGCTACTTTCAAACATTTAAATTTTTATCAACGTAACCGTAATTTCTTAACTTTTAAGTAAATCTGTTATTCAAATATGTAGTAGTTTTAGAAACATTTGTGTGTTTTGCTTCGTCTGGGAATAGAAATGAAGTTTCGTCGTAACAGTCGTTGGGTTGTTTGGGAATAGAATAATCATGCGACTCAAGTATTCGAGCAGCATGTTGACCGATTTCTAAAATTAGTGACGTGGCATTTAACTGTGGGTTTTGTTGTTGTTTTGTTTCATTAACTAACGGTCTCATAATATTGAATAATTCAACTGTTAATTCATGTTTACGTAATCGTACTGTTTGAAAATGTTTATTTACATTTGTGAAAGGTTATAACGCTATCGGCTTTATGTTATGTTTTGATATATGAAATGCCAGAAATATGATGAGCTAAATACTGATTCTATTTTTTCTTAAAATTAACCTATAAAATACACCATCGACTTGCTCTAATTCTTACGTAGGATCGACACAGTGCTTAATCTTATCCTTTGAAATTACTAACAAGAAATACCTTCTATAATATCACGGTAATTTTTAAGTTATAAATACATTTTCATTTCTTCATATTTCTATCAACTGAAAGCAACATTATAGGTTATAAAAAAATATCTCATCATGTATCGGCTGCCGTCGTTAATCCAGCTATAAACGATAATGGAGTTTCGATTAAGTGCATAAGTAAATAATTCCGTGTTTTATTACTGTCCAGAGCCGCCTCGGACTTCGCCGCAGGAGGGGGGGCCGGCGACGCCTCGCTCCTCCGTCTCCCCGCCCGACCCTTCGCCTACCTTCCCCACGGTATAGTATTTTAAACTAATTACATGATATAGAATCTTCTATTCTATTCTATTCTATTTCATTGTTGTCCGTCACATATTTTGTATGGAAATTATGATATTGAACAATGGAAACAAACATCCGAATTTCTATATTAAAAATTATTTTCATCCCATACTTTTATTGACTTTAGTCCCTGAAGTTTTCAGATGCATCCTAGAAAAGGATCCATCCTTGAATAGGTTTTAAATTCAAATCTACATACGTTATGTCAATGCAACATAGCCAGGAGTCACATAATCTTTGACGTGGTTTAATCTATTCGATAATGTATTAAATAAGTGTTTTTAATTTAGATCCGTGGCGTGGAAATCGGCATCGTAGTGTTAGTGCTGATCGTATGGATAGGGGCGATAGCGCTGTTCTTCAATAGATGGGGAAAGATTCGAATGTTACTACCATATCAACCTGATTACAAACAGGAACAATTAAAGGTAATTAAATCAATTTATTTATTTTAAATCTTATCTTACTTCTTCCTATCACACTAATATTACAAATGCGAAAGTTTAAATGGATGGATGGATGTACATATGTAGAGTTAGTAGCCTAAACAGCTGAACGAATTTCGATGAAATTTGGTATAGATGTAGAGGATAGTCCGAAAGAACATATAGGCTACTCAATTTTTTTTTTAATTCCACGTGGACGGAGTCGTGGGTGAAAGCTAGTAATATTATATGGATGGATGGATGGATATTAGTTAGTGTTTGTAGCCTTAAAGACTTAACGGATTTCGGTGAAATTTAGCATAGACGTAGAGATTATTCTGGAAGAACATATAGGCTATTGACTTTTGTTGTTTTTTATTACACGCGAACGGAGTCGCGGGCGAAAGCTAGTATTTACATAATTCTTATGTGTGTATTTGAGAGTTCTGGTATGATTTAGATTTACATCCTAGCAATATTAGGTGATATAAAACTATATAATAGATATCAAGTTCGGATCCGCTGGCATCCATAATTTTAATCACAATGTTTTGTTATTTGGAAATAATTGAATTGAAAATGTATTTAACGATTGGACGAACAATACAATTAAACCACACAATTGAGTAACGTAATATGTTAGGTTGTTTAAAATAGTTATGTCCAATGAGGTTTTCAATTAACAGGTGGAAGAGTGCACTTCCCATGTATCAACGCCGTTGTAAAACATGGTGTGTTATAACCTCCAAGTAATTTTAGACAACCGCTTTAAATTTTGCTCTTGTCCTGTATAGTTCTTACCTTATCAATTAGAGATATAGCTAGTTCAGACTGCTAACTCATTTAAGTAAGCTATTATGTAGCTAAAATAGCAGTTTGTTGTAAATAATCCAATTCTCTCATATTTAGAATGTTTGTTTCTGATCATAGTTTAAAATTATCTGATTGATTATTATTTGGATTAGTTATCACGCATTCATTTGCTTTAATAGGCTTATCAAATTTGCAAGAATTTATGATACATACCCTTCTCCTATTAAGTTTGGTATAAGCAGAATTGGTAGTGACTTCTATTATATTAGTAAGAAAGAATGGATCTGTTATCATTTTTGTAAATGTCAAAATATTGGTACTATTACTTTTCATAAGTTATTCTGAAATTTGGAGTACAATAAACAAATAGAATGTACATAGAAGGAATGCGATGTTAAATTTTTTATTTGAAGATAAAATTTTCGGAATGAATTACTTTCTTTAATCGATTTAAATCTTAAGTTGATGATTCTTGATTTCTTTTTATTTATCTTGTAATTTGTAGGTGCCAGGAAGTAGTGCGTTGGCCGCAGCAGCTGCTGGCGGTACTTGTGGAGGACATTCCGCACCATCTGCCTGCTCGGTAACTATACACTGCAAAACTTGTATGACGTCATCAGCTTTTCCTTAAGTTCTCTTTTTCTTCTTTTGTATTCAATCTGTTTTTGTGGTTTACTTTTAATTGTTTTGTTCTCTTATTTTACCACATACTTCTCTCTTAATGTACATATTTCTAAATTCTTGACAAATATTTTTCTATTTCTTTTATTATTTCTCTTTGTGTAACTTAAAATAAAAACACACCCAACAACTAAGTATATAGAAGAAGTAAATTAGAAGTTGAGGTTTTCATATTCTCTTGTAGTTTAAAATATATTTTACCCGTTATCTTAATGAAAGCCGTTTCAAAAGAGCTATTGCCTCGGAAAATGTTAGTCGGTAAATACCTCTTGATCAGATAAAGTTGTAAGATTAATGTTTGCCAAGCAATAGGGAAGATTTATTCAATTGTATTTTCTGACGTTTGAAGGTCAAAGGCAGTCGCGGCTTGCGAGTGCTTGCGATATTTAAAGCTTTGCTAATGTGATTTCTAACTGCAATGCACCATAGTTACAACACCAAGGTCGCTTAAATCCTGCGGCGTGTTGCAGTGGGAAATTAACACTAAATCAGAAACCTATGCGCTAATTTCAAACCTTACACTTATCCCAAAATATCGATAGTTTGTCTTTTACAGTTAACAGTTTGTTTAGAACTGCTATATTAAAAACTTTTATAGAGTTTTTTGTCCTTGATGCTTTAAAAACCTACCCGTATGTATGAAAATGTACAACAAATCCCATACCATAATTACGAACATTAAATTGAAAATAACGTGAGAAAGACGTCAAGGACTTTTATCATGCGGGTGTTTTATAGACTCATGCTTTCTTTATCATTGTCTTCGTTTAAATTTAAGACGCATTATAAAGGTAGAAGAAACTTAACAAGTCTTACTGAAAACAATCACATGCCAATGAAGTTAATTTTATTTAATTCAAAAGTCTGTCGAAGCTGCTGCGCATCTCAACTACATTTTTCTAAATAATAGAGCAACATTCCATTTTTTGATGCAAAATGTCGCATTAAAAAGGTTCATGAATTTATACGTGCAACTTTGTGATTTTTATGACAAAATGCACTTTAATATTTAAAAAATATATTCTATAAATGGAAGCTAGCATGCACGGAAATGCATGCTTAACATGCAAGACGAGTATTTAATTTATTGCCTTAGTCATAGGTTGCACAATAATTTCTTTTATGTTATTTTTAAGCTGATATTATAAATTTACAATAATGTTTGTATATTAAACAACGTGAGATTTATGAAAATAATCTCATTAGCGACTTTAAGGCAAATATTGAATCGACAAATGTTATCATTTCCATCCGATAACTTATAAAAACATCAGTTAAATCTTTGTACAAAGCCCTTTGTTTTTATATTTACTTGTAGAGAATCGTACACTTATTAGTTTTAATAGTATTCCATAAGAAGTATATATATTTACGTAGAAATGTAAATTTACGTTAAACGAGGAGTAAAAGTGTCAGTTTATCTTGTGATATATTCAGATTTCCTTCAAATAGGTTGTTACAAAGACAGCTTGTCATCTTGATGTCCAATCTGAGGGTAAACTATTGACGCGTTTGATTGAATGTCTAAAGATTTATTTCGTCATACAGGACCTATCGTTCCCAAATAGTTATGACATTATTGTACCAAAAATATAATTTACTTGGTCGCAAACGTCCGAAGACAGTAACATCCTTGAAATGTAGATTTCAAAATTAAATTTCGTTCAATGGAAGTAATAAAATATAATGGATATTTGAAGAATATCAATTTGTGTTACAATCCAAATTATAATTAACTTATATAATTTACAGGTGTCCTAAAGCCGGTTTATTTAAAAACATCTTAGATTGGTTGACAAATTATAAGGTACCGATTCCTTTGTTTGTGTCACTAAATCGGTTTGGTGCAGGACGTATGCTGTCTTCTGGATCGTTGCTTCCAATACCCGAGACGGAGCGCCCGCGACTGCGGCTGTCAGTTTGCCTTGCTCCACGCGGCGCCAGATGAACAAAATCAGAGCAGCTAGCGGAGTCCAGCCCGCGCTAGATCGCGGGCTTGCCCCCACTGCCAATGCCGCTGTGCCGGTTGCGACCACCAAGTAAGCTGTGGCAGCAGTGGCACGCTTACTAGTGTGTTACTAGCCTTACGTATCACGCTAGTGTGTTACCTTGTATCACACTGTTGTGTTACTAGCCTAACGTCACACGTATTTGAAACACGCACGCAAATGACACGGTTTTAATGCACAGGCAGTTCACTAAATGTAAATATCATTCACATTGTAGATGGGTCTTGTATGAAATGTGTTTGGACTCATCTTTCATAATTGGCACGTTTTTAATTTTTTTTCAAACTTAAAAAAAAATCTGCAATTAATAATAGTTGAAATATCAAACGGAAAAAAACGACAAAGATTTTATTTTTTAAATTCATGAATCTTTGGTATTTAGACGAATTAATTATAATAAATAAGTGTAGGTTCTCTACAAGTCTTGTCTTAAGCCGTCGTAAACTATCAGCGAAATCGGTACGAAATGAAATTACTATAATACGATTTATAAATGCCAATTAACTACAGTAAACTATTCGTCATAATATAAAACAGAGAGTCTAATTTAATTTGTCACTAAAAAAGCGTATTCAAATTGCAATTCTAAGGGCACCAACCTTGACCTTGACATGGTTTATTTCTCGTAATTTTAATATACTAATGCTTACTTCACTTAATGCTTCAGTTTTTCAAGCACCATCATTTCATGGCAAAAAAAATAACACCAAACACTAAAGAAATTTAGTTTTGTTTTAAAAATCAAAATTATGTTTTTTTATTTTTATTAATTCCGAACTTATAAGCAATCTGTTTTTAACGTCATTTCAAAAGATAACCTTTTACTTGTACATTTCATTTTGGTTTTTTGATAGCACCAGGTATTGAAATAAACCATATTATTAGCTATTTCAAAGTTTATTGTCATAAGCTGGTAATATAATTTTAAGTCGTCAATGTTACAAATGATTTCATAGGGATTACTGGAGATGCAGTGTATTAGGTGGAATCATATCAAATTGCGTAGTCAAAGGTCAATTTATGTTTCTACGGAAGATTTTGGTTTCATATTCCTGGCGTGTAGGTCATCAAAAAGTTTTTTTTTTTTATATTTGTTAAGCTATCGCTTGACCACCTGAAGAAACTGATGATGCAGTCGAAAGAAGTTCTTAATCAAAAATTTAATTATTCGTTTTATTGCAGCATATGCGCTGGTCGCACACACACACGCAGAGCTTGGAGTGCGAGGAGCGGCTGTTGTCGCGCTGCAGTCGGCCGCGCGTCAACTCCGCCATCTTTGTGTCCGCGGAGCCAGCCGGCTTCGCTGGCTTCGACCCCGGCGAGTTCCTACGCAGACACGGCTCACAATCCAAATTGTGTCGGAAAGCAAGGTACGATATCTTATTTCAGCATTACTAAGATTGAGAAGTCAAAATGATTCATTGACTAGCGTCCGAAGGTGTGGTCTTTTGCTTTTTGGTCTATTCTCACATTGGTGAATATGATTAAAATTTGTAAAAACTTTTCTTCCGTATGTTGAACATAATCTTTATTATAGATCTGCTGATAACATACCTCTAACAACAATGAGTGACTCATCGGAAAGACTTTGCAAAGCCAAAGCGCCACGGGAAGAGACCATAAGCGAAGAAGGTAAATCTGACGACAGCGGCAGCATTGAGACCGTGAGACACTTCGGTCTGCCGATACTTTCGGTGTCTGGCCCTTCGCCCCCGGACGAAGATTACGATCAAATTGATGAGTACCTGTAGCATTTCCATACCAGTTTCCAGTTAAAATACGTCCTGGAGAAGATGCGACCGCCTTGGCCATCTCCCATTCAGAGTCCAAAATCAGACGAAGAGCGACTCTAAATTGACGTTCTGGAAACTGAGGAATGACTTCTATCTTGTATCTGATTGTTTCATCAGTCTCAAACTACAACGATTTTCGCCTGAACTGTTTACTAAGTGTGTCTTGCTAAGGGACCATAGTGTTTAGTGTGTTTTTTTCGTGTCCTTACTCCTTTAGATGATTCGTAATATTATATTCCCTTATTCTCTATTGAGTGCTAAGCTATTAAGTGTAAGTGATTCAATATCTATATTATATTACACCTTATTAGTGTAAGTAAGAAGAGCACAAAATTCATTATTAAATTTTAACAGTGCCACTCCTATTGTTAGTTTATACACAATGGTGTCTATAAATATATTCTTATAAGCAATTTCTTGTAAAGTACATAATCTAGCTATGTAAATCTCCAATATCTTAGATAATTCAACAAATTCCTTTTGTAGAATGCAATGATTTAATCATTTTAATGTAGAAAAATAATCTTATTAATAATTACTATTAATTGTCGTAATTACGTCACATGTAATATCGATTTCTAGTAGGAGTTATGAGGAGTATTAAAGGTTGAATTTTGGTCCAATGAAATGTAATTGCACGAGGTGTCTAGAATTTAAGATTCTATTGAATTAATGGAGAAACATCGAGGATTGAAAAAGGTAGAAGTGATTAAAATTAATTTCTCTTTATGCAATCTAGTGAGTCTTGATTAGCGATAAATATTATATAAGTGTGTGGTGTTTTTTGGCGAATTTGTATGATTTTGAATATATAATTTTCTGTAGATTGACTAATAATATAACCAGTCAATTATGAGATCTTTAACTTGTAAATTACTGTACAGAATTACGCGTAGGATCGATTAAAAATGAGGCACTAATTTAGTGTCTATCTGAGTTATGAAACTGATTAATTATTAATTACGTTTGAAATTTATTATGTTGGTACTGGATTTGGGACCAGACGGTACGGCATGTAAATTGTTTATTTAATTAAAATCAGTAACCGTGGGTTTCAACTCACGGTATACAAAAACATATTGCGTTTAACTCCGATATTACAATGAGTACATGAGGGACAGCAATAAATGTTTGCACAATTGCTTTGACAGAAAACCACTATAAGGGTTTCAAACTTGAATAGTTTATATTCAAGTTATATGTGTCACCTCCGTTTATGGCCTTACAAATAGAAAAATTTGGAGATTTTTGGATCTGTCGCAACGTTTTGTTAGCGACTCATGGCATAGTTTGTGTTTTAATCTTATTAAACATTTATTTATGAAAACAAGCTTAAACTGCAATTCATCACTTCAGTAAATATGTAGTGTCCAGTTTTAGTTATGTTTTAATATAAATTGTAATTCCAAATGATAAACCAAAGAAGTAAGGAAAAATCAAATATCTTTTTTTAATTAGTTTAAGAATATTCCGTAACAAGTCACTGGGAGAAAACTTTACAGCGTTATCGCACTTAATATATGCCGATAAATATTTATAACCTTAAAAATAATCGATTTTACACGTAAGATTATTAATTCCCTCCATTATTATATAGACTCATTAACAGCATATTATTAAAATAGAACAGTGCATTATTATTTTATTTCTTATTACATGAAAATTATTAATCCATTAAAATGTAATAATTGTCCCAAGTTTAATGAAAATATCAGACATTTTTTTCGTGTCTTTTTTTAATCGACTGTAATTTCTATTTGTATTGCATTTAGTTTAATTGTAATCAATAGATATGTATTAGTTGTTTTAAAACAAATTTATAGATCGTATTAAAGTGTCTGTTATAAATTTCTGTTATCATAAATTTTAAAGTCATTAAATAAAAGTCTAGAAAAAATATATTTCCCTTTAGATATAGCATCAGTAGGAAGTTATCTTGTGCCAAGAAATAATTGTTTCCAAAGAAAGTTTGCAGCTTTTTTTATCAAGTAAAGTATTAGATGAATTTATTTCTTCATAAATTCAGTATTTAGTTAATGAACATTAAGAACTATTCATCAACATTTCTCCAATATTTGTACGGATCAAAATAGAATTTTAACTTTACGATTGTATGGAAAGTGTACATATCTACAAAGATATATTATGCTCATATACATATACTTTATGTAAAATACTTAAATTCTAATGGATAAAATAATTATAATTATATTTACCTTCTTATGGTATCTATTTACTATCACAATGAAATAAAGATTAATAAATTGTAATTTGTCTTATTTTTGTCTTCTCCCGAATCTTAAGTCATCATCAAGTCACTATTGTGCACCTACTGAGGGGCTCGGAGCCTACCCTAAGTTAGGTGACTAGGCCATAGTCAACCATGCTGCCAACTACGGATTGACTTCACACTTATCTTAGAATTTCTTCGCGGGTACGTGCAGACATCACGATGTTTTTCGTCATCCTAAGAACGTCTTGTAAATTATATTGATATGAAAATTCGAAAAATCGAAAATCGCATTGGTACACGGCGGGATTCGAACCCAAGAGCTGTAGACTACAAGTCAAGTGCTTAAACCACTGAGCCACTGACGCTCCTTGCTTAAGTATGACTATAAAATACAAAGAAAAAGTCTAAAACACTTACTATTATTTTTATTAATTACTCCGTCTGCGGGGAAAAAAACAAATGCAAGTAGCATATGTGTTCTTGCAAACTATCCTCTACATCCATGACAAATTTCATCGAAATCCGTTCAACCGTTAAGGCTACAAACTCTAACAAACATTCATCCATGCATCTAAAGTTTTGCATTTATAACATTAGTATGATTTAAAATTGTTAGTGTTCCATAGCAGAATAATTTATCAATTAAAATGGTCCTTGAATGAACTTAAACATAGAAAACCCAAAATGGAAAATAACATTGCGACAATGTTCGTTTCTTTTAACGCAATTCGCAAACTTCTTTATAAGTAAACGTCCCCAGACGACTAGAGTTTGAAAGTAAAATAAAAGACTATTTTTTGTTTACCGTATTTATTTAGTTGCCACTTATAAAGTTTTGACATCTACTTTAAACAGGATCTACAATATGTAAAAATATCCTGTATATTTTTCCAAGTCCAAGAAAGATTCTTTGGTCAAAATTATGACAATTTGACTGAAAATCGACCAAAAAAATCTGTGGTAGTCCATTGTACACATTTTTCCCGGACACCTATATATATAACCATTTCGCAACAACTTAACGGCAGAATACTGAAACGAATCTTTAACACAGCGCTTAGAGACTGATAACAAACTGACTGATGTCAAAATTCTAATGGAATTTGAAATTTAAGCTGCACTAATCATTTAAGTGGGTGTTCTTTTTTATATGTAGTTTCATTCATTCAAACAGCGTCTTAAATGTAAGATTTGTTGTCTGTCAGATTGCAAGCACTTAAGAAGCAAAGTGTTAATTGTTCAAATGTATCTATTGAGCAAACAATACCTTTACAACACAAAAATAGATTTAATCTATGAATAGGCACAGAAAAAATCTATTCACATAATAATCGAACGAATCAAACGTACTTTCCGATTGTATTGAACTCGCGGAAATAGAAACGCTTCATAGATAATGATCGATAAACTTTCATAACCTGCGGTCACTAGCAAACATTATGACTGGAAATTGGATTTACATTACGCTAGTTTCACACGAGGGCAGCAGTGACTCGGACCAGTAGGACAGGTGAGTACTACTATTGCTTGAAAGCTTATTTATACTAATGTTATAAAGAGGAAAGAATTGTGTTTTTGTATTTATGTATGTATTAGATTCACGTAAAAACTACTGGGCCGATTTTAAAAATTCTTTCACCGTTATAAAGGTAGTTTATCTGTGAGTAACATAGACTATATTTTTTTATTTCAGGCGCTCGAAGTCGCGAGAAAAAGGTAGTCTATACTATTATTATAAAGAGGAGATATTTGGGTTTTTGTATAGTAATAACTCAAAAGTTATTGGGCCGATTTCAAAAATTCTTTCACCATTAAAAAGCTACCTTATAGTTGAGTAACACAGGCTATATTTTATTATTTCACGTGGAAGAAGTCACGAGCAATAACTAGTTGTCTATATATTACTGTGGTGTCTTCGTGTTAAACGTTACAAATAAATCGATGGCCCGAAATAGCCAGTTTATATAAATATTTTAAAGTCATAGAGTTTTTAAACTATTTGGGTAGTTTTCTGATTGTTTTGTCGTGTATAGTCAAATTGATTTGATTTTTCCCATTTCCACAAATAGAGGAAAATCCTCATATCTATAACCATCAGTATCACACTAATATTATTAACGCGAAAGTTTAGATGGATGGATGTTAGTTAGAGTTTGTAGCCTAAACGGCTAAACTGATTTCGATGAAATTTGGTATAGATGTAGAGGATAGTCTGGAAGAACCCATAGGCTTACTCACTTTTGTTTTTTTTAATCCATGCAGACGGAATCGCAGGCGAAAGCTAGTTATTTATATATATTACCTATATTCGATATATATTTTAGATAACATCAAACTACTACAAAGGATAATATGTAATTGAAAATATAACCTCAATATTGTGTTGTACCGCAATTCACTTCCCAATTTATAACACAATGGAAGTGCAATTTCTATACGCGGACACAAAGCTTTCATATCTTCTAGCAAAGGTTAATAAAACGTTTACAATAACTACTTCAAGTAACGACAAGTTTATATAAGACAAGCTGTTGCTTGAGACTTTGTCTGCGTCAATTTAGAAAATGTAGCCTATGTTACTCTAGTTAAGATTTTTTAAAATCGGCTAAGTAGTTTATGAGTTATTTCAATACAAACACAAATACAAATCTTTCCTGTTTGTAATATTTTATTATATAGAAAGGACCTAGTGATTATGAACAACAAAGAATATAATAACAAATATGTACAAATTGAAAGATAATTAGTTATTTTAATAATTAATACATATTTTATTTAATTAGTTTCTATGTCTTAGGGTGTGTACTGACATACGTTACGACGTGTAATGTTACGGTAAGCATTGATGCTATACACGAACATTTCACGTTTAACAATAAGCACAGACATCGTAAATTATCGCCGCGTTACATATTACATTATATTACATAACGTCAGTCAGTCCACCTTTACTTATAAAACTAGCTGTTCTCGTGCGGCTTCATCTGCATGAAATTGTGAAATTTTTATTTTATTGTTTATTTAACATTTGTTAAATTATTAATAGCAAAAGTCAAAATGACATAACATGATGACAACCTTGCTTCCTTAATGTTGGCTGCAACTTATGGTCTCTTTTCCACATTAGGGCTTTATCCAAAATATTTTAAGTTTAATGGTGTTAAAATATATAGCCTAAAGCATGACGCAAGTGTAGGGCATTTTATTAAAAAAAAATATTCAAAAATACGCTGTAATTGCTGACATCTTAGGCAACAAGAAAGTGTGTGTTTACGCTTCATTATAATAGTATAGATGACAATGTCACCATCCACAGATTGAAATAGATATTTTTTATTTCATGACGTCAGATGTTTATGATGTCAAAATGTTTTAATTAAGAGTGCGTCCACACCTTTGACTAGACTATCGCAATAATGCTTAGTCGCGCTTGACTATTTGAGCCTATATGTAGTTACGTGAACAACACTATTTTTAATTGGCTGAAAAACAATCGACTATCGATAGTCGAACAACTGTTGTGTCATGGTTCAATCCAACGTGAGCGCTCGCTCTTAGTATTTCCAGAGTGAAAACCTACTGTAATAAGCACAATTTCCCGTTCAACGCTGTATTGTAGCAACAATTCGCAAAGTATTTCCTTAAACGACGTAGTTTAGTCGCCTATTAATGATAATAGCTATTTGATTATACGCATTAACTAATGCCGGTATCGTCTTTGTTTAATCGCGTGCAGAAACATTCTACAATACATTCTGCTTCAATAGTTTAAATACCTAATTGTCACGTTCATTAAATAGACAAAAGACAAGGCAAGGATAACAGTCATATTTTGCAATGTTTAAGGAGTTTTAAATGAATTGTAAAAGTAGAATAAATAAGTTTATAAATCTATCTACACAATATCTTTCATACGAAAATTATTTATTACAATATATAGACATAGATTTACATGACAAAAATAGTGTCATCATCTTCATTCTTATATTACTCCCGTAAGGACGGCGAGACAGGTTTTTGTCCTCATAAGTCTATCATATGGTCATCTCAGTCATGTCATTCAGTCATTCATGTGCATAACAAACATGTGCCAACTTTTATCTTGATTTCTGAACTCCGTCAGGAATTAGAAGAAATTTCACAGTGGTAGTGCCCGCTTTAACATCTTAGCACGAATGGGCTGGCACGCCCGGTGTAATACCACGACCACACAGAAGACAGGCGTGTAGTGGAAGTAATTCCGTGTTTCGTCTGATGAGTATGGTGCCGGAGGCCTAATTTAAGTCCCTTACTCCGTACCACCCTTTTGTCATAAGGAGAGGATGGGAAGGGGAAGTGGATTTGACAGTGGAGGAGATGCATAGGAGGGGGAAATATCCTCTTTATGTG